CCACCTGTCACAGTTTGAACTCTTTCCCAGGCAGCTGGGGGCCAGCATGGGGAAAAGTATCTGCCATGGAGTTCCACCAGCCTCATTGGCCAGGTGCAGAGGTCATGTGTGCTGGGTTCTTTACTCCCCGAGCTGGTAGGTACTGACTTGGTGCTAGGGTAGCTTTCCTGTTCTAGAAGACACCATGGGCACCACCTACATTCTCTTTGGTCCTATGATGTGGATAAAGCCCCAGGACCCTGAGGGGCTAGATACAGATGTCCAGGCAGAGCCTTGGCCCTCATCTGTCTAAGCCCTAGGTGTTAGCTCTGTTGTGTTCACTGGAGCAGCTTCTGCCCAGATCAGGCCTGAGGGAGAAAGGGCCTGGCTATAGCATGCGTACCTTGTCCTGCCCAGCCATGGTGCCATATGCCATACCAAAGAGTTCTGAAATACATAGGTTTGACATGGCATCTTATGGAGCCCTATGTTTTTGAGGGGCCAGGTGCCATGAGCTGGCTCAGTGACTGCTGTTGCCACTGTGTGCCTTACTGCCTCCTCAGCATGTGTAGCTCTTGTGGGACAGTCTGCAGCACTGCTGCCTGACGTCGCATATCATCCCATTCCCTCCATGACTTCCATAACCTGCTGTCCCCTACGGGTCTGCTCAGAAACCAGTCTGTGTGTTGTTAAAGACAACCAGCCTTGATGCCAGGATGAGTATGTATTAGGCAGGCAATTCAGATTAGTCAAGGGCCACTTTAATTACCTCACTCTTGGTTCAATATTTTGGTTCTATGAAATTGCTTGTTTTATATTTACACTTTTCTTTGTAGTTTTAGAAGTACATATAAACAAATGATCAAGAAAAGTCACCTTTGAGATCTCTGGTGTGACTCCTGCATGGAGTTCTGTTGTTCTGAGTCTGTTTAATCTTTCTGGAAAGCAGAGTGCGGCAGACCTGCCCAGCTGTTCACAGCTCCTGGTACCCCTGGCTGGCCCGTCCTGGCAGCCTCTTTTCTCTCAGAACAAAGGGACTGAAAATATCCTTTGTGGAGAGGTTTTCCTCCTGGGGCTGAGAGTTTATAATCAGCTAGACTGTTGGCCAGAGCTGGGTGGCAGGACAGCTGTGATGCACGAGGCAGGGCATGGGGCAGCCCTCTGAAATGACCCTACTTGTGTCATCCTCTGGGAGATGGGCCACCCAGATGGCAGGCACAGAATGACAGCCATGTGACTGAGAGGCACCCATAGCTCTGAGTTGCTCAGGGAGCTCCTAGGAACACCAGCTGCCCAGCTCTGCTACCTTCAAACCCCACCAGGTGCTGCAGGCTGTCATTTTTCAACTCAGAATCAGGGTACAATCCTCAGGGGGCATGTTTGCCATTTCTCTCTGGAGTGTCTGCAATATATACATACAAACGATAGTTTTGGGGACATGATGACAGTTCTGTTTTAAGCTCTCATGTATACTCGGATGTGCTGTTTAGAGAAGCAAGCTGCATATTGCCTGTTGCCAGGGCCCCAGCCTCTGACCTCTCTCTCCATAGTATGTGAATCACTTTCATTTTCATTAAAAACTTGTTTTCAATGTTCCTCCAGCCCTGGTTTATGAAGCCCTGATTCTGGACAGGTTCAGAGGTTTGGGGTTTATAGTGAACAGAAAACACTGTACAGGCAGGTCCGGGTGTCTGTACCAGGGCTCTGTGGGAGTTTCAGAGGGTGGCAGGGGCTTTACACCCACATGTGTGTGTTTTCACGCACAGCCATGCGAACTACTAGCCACCTATATGTGCTTAGATAAACACATGCTCTTTCCCAGCACTTCTTTTCTGATTTGATAGTTTTCAGAACTGTCAATCAGTGTTCCAAAACAACTCTGTCTCTTACATAGTAGCCTCCAGGAGTCCACTATCACTGGGACTGCAGAATGCCCGCTTGTGCCCTGGTAAGGATTGGGTCAGTTGGAGTGGCTTGCTCCTAGGAGGTAGGCCTTCCTGTGGGCTTCAGTGTTCTGTTCACTGACAGGTGGCTGGGAGCCATTTTACTTCTCCCCATTTGACTGCACAACCACCCTCCTGTACACCAGTGGGGCAGCATTAGCCCGTAGCTTCTCCTCAGCTCTGCTGCTCTTGTCAGTTCCACAGCGCTAGGAATACCCATGCCTCCATCTCTAGGGCATGAGGTGTACAGACAGGTTCACTCAGAGGGTGAAGGTTAAGTACATCAGAACACAAGTTTGGGCACTGTGTAGATGTCCCCAGAGCTGCGTCTCCTCATTACACTTCCAAGTGGCAGTCTATCCTGTGAGTGTGCAGAGCAGTCGGGAAAGAGGAGGAGGCAGCCACCTTCAGAACCTCTGTCTCCTGCTTCCCTCTGTCACAGATTGGTGCCTATGGACTGACTGTGTGGATGGGCTGTCCTAGCAGGTGCCAGCATGCCTCCCTCTCCCTTGTAGCTGGCATCTTGCTAAACAACCTTTAACCCTCCTCTGTTTAGCCTCCTTCCGCTGGAGGACAAAGACCGTGGCTTCTGCCCTGCTCACAGACTGTCAACTCTGGCACTTGGCATTCACTGGCTGCCATGTGTGCCCCACCCCAGCCCTATGTTCAGCCTATGTTGTGACAGCTGGCTCATCCCAGGTGTGTACTCTGAGCCTGTATCATATCATTCCATATGTGAGGCCACATGTCAGCCCTGCCCACTACAGTGAAGACCACCCATCAACCCCAAGCACTATGGGTTGTAGGATAAGCCTCTCCCAGGCACACGAAATGCTGTCACTTGACATCACTGAGGTGTCCGTTACATATTTTACTCTGTCCCTCTGGGAAAGGACTGGTCATTTAACTCTGCCTTCTCTAGGAGGGACTTGTCTACTAGTTACCTGTCACTAGGTAGCAGATCATTCTGTCCAGCCACAGATAAGTCTTTGTTTGGATACCAGATGCAGTGTCTGTGATGGGCTGCTTGGGAATCATATGTGGTTCAGCTCATGGCCCTGGCTTAGGTTGGTGGCTTTAGAGGTTCCTGTCCTGCTGTTGGTTGGCACTGGTCCTCTGGGGCTTGGTGGAGAAGGCTCTACCTCAGCTTTTCTGCATGGTGCTGCTGCTTCATCTTCCCTGGGTGCTGGTGCACAGTGCTTTGGTGGTGCCTTTCTTCATGCACTTGACACCAGCTGTCTCCCTACAGGGCACTGAGCTCCCTAAGAGTGAGCTACCCACAAGGGCAGCTGAGGCAGAAATGGCCATCTATGGTCACCTGACAGAAGGACATGGTACCACTTCTGTATTCTGTACTAACGTGGACCAGCCATGATACTGTGTGACTGGGGACTGGGCAAGGCTGTGATGCCTACAAACTGGACATCATTAGGACTTGGGGAGGTTGGCTGCCATATTTGCTTCCTGTGGCATTTTTGGGGATGAAAGAGACTAAATCCAAAAGGAGTAAGATTAATTTTCTCTCTCTTTAATATTTTTAGCATTAGTTAATTGTTTATTTTAATTTTATGTGTATGAGTATTTTGCCTACCTGTATGTAAGTGCACCACATGTGTGCAGTGCCCACAGATGCCAGAAGGGGGCATCACATTCCCTGGAATTGGAGTTATGGATGGTTGTTAGCTGCCATGTAGATGCTGGAAACCAAACCAGTGCTCTTAACCACCTAGCCATCTCTCTAGCCCATCTATCTTTAGTATTTGTTATTTATGCATTTAATGTTCTTTATTCTTTCACAGTTTCATACATTATATAATTTACTTTGATAAGGGGCCCCTGTTACCTTCTTTTGTCTCTCCCCCATCAAATCTTCTTTTCAACAGGTCCCTTTCTACTTTCATGACGTGTGTGTGTGTGTGTGTGTGTGTGTGTGTGTGACTACATTTAACCAGGCAGGGTTGTTCACTTGAGCAAGGGACACACCACTGAGGAACATGACTCCTCCTTCCCCAGGGAGGTGGGCCTCGTGAGCCCTGCCCCCTATGATGGAATGTTGGTGTGCTCAGTTCAGTCTTGTGTGGGTCTTATACAGATAACCACAGTTGCAGTGAGTTCATGGGTACAACGGCCATGTCATGTCCAGATGACAGCATTTCATAGCACTCCTGTCCTCTGGCTCTTTCTTTTTCCCCCCTCTTCCAGGGTTCCCTGAGCCTTGGAGGAGGAGCTAGAGGTGTCCCGTTTAGGGCTGAGCACTCATCACTGACCACTTACTAGTCTCCACATTATCATCATCCCCTTCAGACAGAAGCCCCTGTGACCCACACTGACAGCAGCACCAATCTGATTGTTTGCTCTATCTGGACTCTAATTTCTTCCCCACTGCTGTGGGTGATAGATGTCCCGCCTCCCCTCTAAGTTGACCTTTGGCTGATTGGGTTGCTCTCACTGTCCTGTAGGTAGAGCTTCACAGGGAGAATCTGACCTCTGGTCACATCTCTGCAGATTCCTTCTGGGTTCCAGTTATGGGCTTGTGGCTGCTGCCCCTGCCCCTGCTGATCTTACCAGATCTCACTTTCTCTTTTAACCAGACTTCTTCCCATTTAATTTCCCAGCTTTATACCAGCCCTCAGACTGTACTGAAATACACAGGCACCTACCTTCAGCTGAGGCCTCCTCCCCAGCTGACAGGGAGGTAGGGGTACAGCTCAGAAGTGAAAGAAGAGGGACCACATTGAGGGCTCCCAGCCTGGTTGTCTCATTTCCATCAGGCCTGAGGCATTTGGGCACCTGTATTTCCTGGGTGTGTGTGAGTAGCGAGACTGGTCTCTGTCGGAACTGTTTAGAAGAAGAAACAATTTGAGAGAAGGTTGGGGCTTTGGAAATGGAATGTTCTGGGTGGGTGCAGTTCCAGGGACCTTCCAGGTCTTGTTCATGAGGAGACAGTCCCCTGACTCCTACAATACAGCCCACTTACCCTGACATCAATCTCTTGGCTGGTGAGTGGTCAGGGTGGGATCCCTGGGCCTGGGATCAGCATGGCTCTGCTGTCCTAGTGACTGTACTTTCCATCCACAGGCAAGTTCCAGCAGTGGCATGGGGCAGAGAGTGTGTGTCATTGATGAGATTGGAAAAATGGAGCTCTTCAGTCAGCCTTTCATCCAGGCCATCCGCCAGACACTGTCCATGCCAGGGACTGTCATCCTGGGTACCATCCCAGTTCCCAAAGGGAAGCCGCTGGCCCTGGTGGAGGAGATCAGGAGCAGGCATGATGTGAAGGTGTTCAGTGTGAGTACTTTTGGAACCCCCACCCTGGGGTCACATCCCAGCCCCTGCTGCTTTCCTCTTCCACTTTTTGTCAGACACTCAGCTCCGAGTGTCAGAATCAGAGCAGCTGATTGAGTCTTAGGTCCATAGGTTAGGAATCAGGGAAATGAGTGAGTATAGGTTTGTAGGCATGTCTTTTCCTCCTTTTAGGTTTTTCCGAGACAGGGTCTAATATAGCCCAGGCTGATTTCAAGCTCTCTATGTAGTCAAGGATGAGCTTAAACTTGATTCTCCCACCTCTACCTCCCTAGTGCTGGAATTTTAAGTGTGTACCACAACCCTGGTTTATGTAGTGCTGGAGATCAAACCCAGGGATTCCTGAATGTACCAACTGAGCTACCATCCCCAGTTCCAGGTCTCTCTTTTAAATGGGCCTACTCATCCTTGTCTGGAGAAAGGCCATGGCTCAGAGATGTTCAACATATGGGTGCTGTGGTTTTTATGCAGGAAGGAATGTCCGACACAGCTTGGGATCCTCTGTCCCATTGTCCTAAGCAGGAGCCACTGGCCACCTTGGCTGCTACTACTTAAGTTAATTTAAGTAGAATGGAAAAGTTTCTCAGCCACAGTGGCCATGTTTAGGTGCTCTTTAGCCATGTGTGGCCATGGAATTAAGCAGTGTGGCCTTAGTGTCTTGCTTCTGAGAGTGAAACCCACAGGTTGGCTGCTTGGCATCTCACCTGGCATCTCCTGACTGGCATACCTGTGGGCCTAGCCCGGACCCCAGGGATGGAGCTTTCTGGATCTTGTGTCTGGTCTGCTATACTCTGACCAGCTCTTGGGGGGTCCTTAGGCTACAGCTATTGAAGAAGGGCTGCAGTCAGCCAGGGTAGAGGAGAACCAGCATCCCTGCCCCTGTAGGACACTCTGTGTATAGCTGGTGCTTTGCTTCAGTCTCTCTCTCTCTCTCCCCCTGTCCTTACCCTTCTGCCTACGCACATGAAGAGTATCTGGTATCTGTGTGGCACTCCTGGCTGAGCCCCTTTCCCATCCACTATTCCCTGCCCCTACATGAAGAGCTTCCTGACCCAGCCAGTGCCTAATGAGCATGCCTGGCTGACAGGGCCTCTCCCAGCATGAGGGAGTGTGTGCCCTGTGCAACTGATCACATATTACTGTGACTGGCTGACCCTAGTGCAGTGGTATCATTTGGCCACTGAAGGGTCCTGGAGTGTGGCCACTGGCCTTGAACAACCATCAACATTAGTACAGCAAGGCTGGGGAAGATGTGTCCCTGTTGTCCTGCATGCCTGTATCCAGTCATCCAGTAGATGCTGGTGGAATATTTCCTACATCTCATCATGTCTTGGGACACTGGGGACACAACTGACCAGGTCCTCTTTTCATAGCTCACATTCCTGTACAGAAGATATAGCAAGCTCCGTTGGTTCCAGATGTGGGCCAAGGAAGGAGGCCTACAATGGAAGAGGTGGGACAGGATTTGGTGTGTTTATGGGGCAGATGGCCTCCATAAGCACCACACACACAAGTGGTGCACATACATACATGTAAGCAAGTATATATATGTGTGTGTGTATATATATATATGTATATATATATAAAATAACAGATCTTTAAGGGGCTAGAGAGATGGCTCAGTGGTTAAGAGCGCTGAGCTACAACACTTTGTTCACTAGGATGCCTTTGATACTATAGTTAAAAGGAAAGAACACGAAGGGCAGGTGTAGTCATGGACTTGGGTAAACTGCAGCTTTCTTCTCCATTGGTGGGAAAGTAAGCGAGCTGTCCCTGGAAAATAACTGTGTGCTTCCTCTAAAAGTTATAGGAGTTTCTGTGCACACAGCAGTTCCGCTCCTAGGTATTTACACAGATGACCTGAAAACATGCTTGTAAGAAAACTTGAATGATTGTTCAGAGCAGTGTTATTCAGACCTGATCAAAATGGAATGGACCCAGATGTCCACCAGCGGATAAACAGATCTGTAACCTGTAGTACATGCATCTAATGCGGTATTATTTGATGATACAAAGGGATGAAGCCCAGACATCCTTTGAAACCTGAATGAAGTCATATCATGCTGAGTGAAAAGAGCCAGTCACAGCAGACCATGAACTCTGTGATTCCATTTATAGACGGTCCAGCAGAGGCAAGTGTGTGGAGACAGGAAATAGAGCAGTGGTTGCCAGTGCTGAGGAGGACAGAAGGGGGTGACTGTGAATGGGGCTCTGTTTGGTATGATGAAATGTTCATTGATTTCTAACCCTAGGAGGGTAGAATTTTATGGTACACAAATTTCACCTCAGGCAGTTTCACACTTGTGCACATAGAAGTCAAAGCCACAGTTCTTTTCTTCCTCTAGGATCTCATTGGTGTGCCCTGTGGATGGTGACATTCAGTCCCTTTCTAACCCAGGTTCTGGCCTTGCCAGTAAGGCAAAAAGTGTCACATGATATAAGACACAACAAGAGGTCCAACTCAAGTCTCCCTTCTTACAAAGACACTAATGCTGGGTTGGGGCTGGGGCTCAATTGGTAGAATGCCTGCCTGGCATGCAGGAAGGCCTGGGTCACAGTCCCAGCACAACATACATGGGTATGGTAGTGTGCATCTGTAATACCTGTAATCCCAGCACTCAGGAGGTGGAAACAGGAAGATCCAAAGTTCAAGGTCATCTACTTAGCATTTAAGGCCAGCATAGGACACACAAGACCCTGTCAAAAAAGAAAAAAAAAGAAACCAGGGCTGGAGAGATGGCTCAGTGGTTAAGAATACACTGGGTGCTCTTGCAGAGGACCTGGGTTCAGTTCCCAGCACTCACATGGTAGCTGGCAACCATCCGTAACTCCAGTTCCAGGGCATCTGATGTCGTCTTCTGACCTTTGCAGGCATTGCATGACACAGGTGCACTTACACACATGCAGGCAGTACATTCATACACATAAAATAATGAATGAAAAAATAAAGAAGTCCTTGTAGCCCTCATGCAGGCCCTGCCTCAGGACCCTTCTGAAGCCCCTTCTCCAAACACTGTAACCCGTGGTGGTACTGTGGGAGGTTAGGCTGCCAACACATGGACTTTTGGGGGCATGTTAAAACCACAGTGGCTCTGCAATAGACAAAGCTTTCCTCCTCTCATGTCCATGGGTGCTAGAGCACACTGCCTCTCACACACCTTGATTCTTGGCCCTAATTCTTCCACATTCAGGTATCATCTACTGCCTGAGCAGACTGGGGCATACTCTCTGTGGACTCCCTTTCTGACTCCTGTCTCTACCCTACTCACCTCCTGCTGCGTCCATGGACTCTTCCCCACAGGTCCTTTAACACTGATAGTCCTTGTTCACCTCCCTCCCCATCTTGTTCTGTGAGTTCATGGCATCAGAGTCCTTGCTTGTGGCATTCTGTCCACAGCCCCTTGCTCATCACCATATGCTGGTGACTGGAGTACAGGCCCATCAGAGAGATGTGGTGGTGGGTCAGGAGACAGCTCTGCCCATACCTTTGTGTGTGTGTGTGTGTGTGTGTGTGCGCGTGGTGCGCGCGCGCGTGCGCGCACATGCCTGTCAGATGAAGCCGGAATAAGTTTGTTGCTTTTGTTGATTTCGTAATGGTATTAATCAGGAAGAACACAACAGGATCAAGAGACCCATGTGATACTCTGTGCCATGTCGCCTTTTCTTCTCTGGCTCCGCTCCCATCTTCAGATTGGCAGAAAGCTGAGGCCAGAGGCTCTATGTAGCACTCATGTTCTCCAGGTTCATGGAGAGACGTGTAGATGTTGCTGATCTTGGGGTCCTGACTGCTGCTGCTTTTAGGATGTGTCGAGTTTTTTCTTGCTTCTCTCCAGTCAGGCTTCACCTGCCATGTCCCATCCACCTTCCCATCTCCATCCTGTGCCTCTCTAGTCTATTCACAAGTTCCCCCATGGGACTTAGTGACCCCAAGAGCTGAGCTTCTGCCTCCCTTCCTGGCTCTCTAGGAAATGCTGGGTCACAGGACTGGAGAAGGAGGTACACTCTAAGCCTGCTCTCTTGCCTCTTTCCACAGGTCACCAAAGAAAACAGAAACAGCCTCTTGCCAGACATCATGAGCTGTGTGCAGAGCAGTAGGACATGAAACTAGTTGGACCCTGCGCCGATGCCCGGGTCCAGCTCTGCCTGCTGGTCATTGCCCAGTTCCTCTGCCTCTGCATGGATGGACCTTGTGTCCCCTACCCAAGAAAGCTGGACATCTGCTTTGCAAAAGACGTCCACAGCATCAGATTAGCCAGTGCCGCATGGCCACTGTGTCTTTCGTATGCCTCAGCATTCTGTTTATCTCCTCTTGCAGCCATGTGTGTGATTTGAGTAAATTATAAAACGAGAGCTGCTGAGTATTAGGTAGAATGTGCTCCCATTAGTTTATAGATGTGTTGAGGGTCTGGGAAAGGAGTTTACCTCTTCATCGACTTTGCACACTGAAGATTAAACACTCCTCTGGGTATGGCTTCTGACTCCTGCGGCTTACAGCAATAACAGCAACTTGATTCTCTTCAGTTATTTCCAAAGAAAAACATTTTGACTTCCCTCCCCCATTTCTTGTTTATTCCTCTACTAATTGCATACTAAATATGGACATAGATCTGACATTCAGACACAGGAGTCCTTGTGCGGGAGGAACAGTGTTTAGGATGCTGGTATGACCTGAAGCTCTACAGTCCAGACATGGCTAAGAGCTCACTTTGTGGGTTAACCAAGAGTGCTGCTTGTGTCGAGTCTTAACTGTTTTCAACCTTTTTGAGTCCAGGTGCCCTTTCAAGAAAGAAAGGGAAGTGACCAAGTGACCATCATCAGAAGTAGGATTTGGAAGTTGATGTGTATTGCCCTGCAGTCACTGGACAGGGCCTGCTGCTGCTGCTGGGTCTAGAGTGAGGCTGCAGACAGACTGGCTTAGCCCATCTTGACTCTGCAGAAGCTAGAAAGAGACACAGCTGCAGAAGCTGCAGATTCCGTATCAGTCAGGGCTGCCCTCCCTGTGGCAGTTTTTAGGTCGTTTGGGGGCATCTTTTAGCAACAGCAGTAGCTACAAGCCCACCAACGTGAGTACCACAGACCCCTGTATCCGACTGGGGACACATCTGGGCAAGTGCAGATGGAGGTGTCTGTGAGTCAGAAATTAGGACCCAGTGGACAGAGCAGGAAATACTTAACTGTGAACAGGGGCTTGGGCCTGGAACAGGGGCTCACATCAGTCTGTTCTAGGTTATTTTCACAGCTTGTTGGCCCTAGAGGGACCACTGTACCAGTGCCTTCTAGGTGAGGAACTGGTCCTCAGAAGGGGCCAGCAGTCCAGTGGGAAATGTGGGTGTCTCCTACTGTCCATGCCCTAGGTGGGTCTTCCATCCAAGGAGGTCAGGTATAGAGTACAGGGCCTCTGGCAAGCTGGCTGTGATGTCAGCCATGGGAATCAGGTCAGGCGGGACATGGCACAGGTGTGGGCCATGAGCCTTAGTGCTCTCAGTCAGCTACCACCATACCTGGGTGAACCCAGCCAAGTCTGTACACAGCACGGGCCTATCAGTAAGCCCTACTTGGCCCTTCAGATGTAGAATGAAGGAGGTAGGCTGAGGGCCATCTCATCTTCCCAGGGGCAGGCCCAGAGGGACCTGCCATGCTCGCCTCTATCCTAGTCCCTCTAGGAAACTTTCAGGAGTCCCCCAGATATCTGAAACCAGGGGAATGGCCCCTCTGCTGCCTTCCTTTTGGACTCGGTGTTTCAGTGTGGTTGTTTAGTGAACTTTGATTTTTGTCTTCAACTAGAGGGAAAGCCTACTGAAGATTTGGCTCAGTGGTAGAGGCATGGATACCATGCACAAGGCCCAGAGTCCCAGTACTGCAGAATTGAAATAAGACAAGTGAAAGCCAGTGTTTATTCCAAAGAAGACTGAATAACTCATCTGGGGCTTATCGCTGAATCCTGTTGTGCCTGCAGAGGGATAAGCATGTCACTGCTCAAGGCTGTCTGATGTGTACATCAAATCATACACCGGGTGTGAGTGGCAGCTTTTGTACACTGTAATGGTAGGGACTAGCATGAGAGTTTAATAGTGCATGAGCCATGTGTGGTGATGCACACCTGTACTTGTAGCAACTGGGAGACAGAAGCAGGAGGATCTAGAGTTCCAGGCCAATTTGGGCTACACAGAGAGACACTGTCTCAAAACACCATCAACCACCGTAGAATGGAGGATTCAAACCCACGTCTAGGTGGCTGCAAAGCCTCTGCTCTCCACGCTCCCTGTGCTGTGCTCTTGTCAGTGTATGGTGTGCCCCAGACTGCACAGCTGACAAACTGGCAGGTCACAGTGGCTACTCCATCAAAGGAGGGTCAGGGAGCAGGTACAAAGAGATCAGGTGCAAATTTCCACATCATAAGCAAAGTGCACAGCTGAAGAGCGTGAAGGTTTCTGATGGGATTGGTTGTGGGTCCTGACTTGAGGAATTCCCGTTGAAAATACATGAAATTGACAGGCATTTTATACCTGTGAGGATTTCCAACCAGAATACCAGGCTTAGGGCAGGACAGGAGAATTGAGTGGAGAAGGACTTACTAAGTTCTAGCTGCCTCCCCTGTAGCAGATCACGGCGTTGGCCATTCCACACACTGGTTTTAAACATAACTTCTTATTTCTGAATAAAGATAAGTTCTTGCAGGAGATGACAAGGTTTTTAAATCAGTGGCTATCATCTCTCTGACTGTCCTGGCAGATGGAGCCTTCCAGGAACACTGCAAATCCATTGTTCATTCGGTCCCCATCCCACAGATCATGGAGGGTTCTGGGAATGAAACAAATCTAGGCATGTTGTTGGTATTGTCAAACAGCTTCTAGGCATCTGGAAGTGACTCCAACGTATGTTTTCCTTTGTGGGGCCAATGTACATGTCTACTCAGCATGTACACTCTGTGAATAAGACGCTGCCAGGGAGCAGTAGTTAATGAGCCTATTTAGTGGGTGAAATTGGTGTGCTGGGCAGTGCAGTCACTTGTTCCCTCCTGCTGGGTTCCAGCTCCCCGGAGAGCTTCCCTTTCTTGGATGTCTGAGCACAGACCAGCTGTGTTCTCAGAGGACCACTCTGCTGGGTCTGCATCCTTTCACTGAATCGAAGGCTGCTTATTCCTGAGGGTTGGCAAGTTGCCCAAGGGAGTTTCAGGAGTGACCCATTGGGTTTGGTTTGGTCAACATGGAGACCTACAGCAGATTACACCAGCTAATGGCAATTCTTATCTTAAAAAGTAGAAAAGAAGCTGGGGACATAACTCAGTAAAGTACTTGCCTTGTGAGCATGAGTTCAGACTTGAGTTCGATCCCCAGAACCTGCATCAAGAAAAAAGCCGGATGTGGTGATGTGCACTTGGCATCCCAGCACAGAGGCTGGGGAGACACTTAGATACTCGGGCTCACTGGCTGCTGTCAGCCCAGAGGACTGGCAGTGCAGATGAGTCCTGCTCTTCTCTACACAGTGTTTCAGGACCCTTTACCCCACTCTCGTATCAGCAAGAGTTCAAGTCTCTGCTCTACTCTGTTCAAATCTTGACACCGGATTTGCCCCGAGAGTCATCTCACAGTAATGGAGACATGGTTAGAAAAGAAGCAGACAGAGACAGCTGTAACTGTAAACATTTTATTCCAAAAACAAAGGTGTGTGCATATGTGCTCAAATACTTCTCAGCTAAGAAGATGAGCATGCATCCCTGGGAAGCACGCAGGGATCCTGAGGGCCCAGAAATTGCGGGAGGACCAAACACACCATTCTGAGGTGGCTTGCTCCACTCTCCGTTTCTAAACTCTCATTCTGGACCAATGCACTGTCAGGCTTTTGCTAGTGAGGCTGCGGCTTGCTTGCACTTACAGCTGCATAAATAAAAAAATCGAGGCTCTTTCTATTTGGGCTTAACCTGATGCATTTGGCCTGCCTTGTGGGAGTTGCTGCTCGCTCTCACAGTGGCAATAATGTATAAAATGCCAATTAGCATGCAACTGTTCTAATTTCATCAGGGCAGGAAAGAGTTACTTGTGGGCTCTACTTTTGCTCTAGTTTTAAATATAACAGCTTTGTGAGAAATGTCCAATTGTGCAATGTCTGGGGAAGGAAATGTGATGTCTTCTCCCTGACCCCCATCGTGTGAGAGTATTTTCAAGAACCTGAGATAAAGTTATTGTTTTCTAGAATAGCTCTCCTTTTCCCTCAGGAAGAGCCTGGTGGTTTTGATTCTGAAGGTGGAACTGTGGAGACTGTCCATCTCCCGAACCAGGTGTGTGCTCTGCTATTGCTCATCAGACGTGCTCTGCTGGGAAGCCGTTTCATCCAGGCCCATGTCCTCCTGGCTTGCTCTCCGGCACAGCACTCCCAAGTTCTCTGTCACAGCCTCGTCCAGACGTCGGTCTCTAAGCTGCCCCTGCTCTAGGGTGTCAGTGGATTCACATGGCTCAGAGAAGTGCTTCAAAAAGTTGAGAGAAACAGGGACAGTTTTAGCCCACACTCCCTGCCTGGGTCTCCTATGTCACCCCACCCACTGCCCACCCACTGACACCATAGGAGTTGGGGCTGGGGTGCTGCAGGCTTTGAGGGCTAGCTGTAAAGTTGGGCCAGAGGACAAGACTGACATACAACCTCTGAGGTTAAGCTGCGCCATCAAGCTGTGTGTCCACAGGGATTCTGGATGTGTGGCCTTTCTTGGAAGATCCAGGGGTGGCCCTAGGGAGAGGCCCCATGAATGCTCCCCCACCCCCGGTCAACCCTCTCATCCCACACAGCCCTGATGGGGATGCTGTCACTGAGGGCTCAACCCAGCAGGGCCTTTGCATTCAGGATGCTTAGAGTCCTAAGGACCCATTGTCCTTGCTGAAGATAGAAAAGACTTTGTCAGAGTCCTAACTACACCCATAAAGTGGGACTTAAACAGATGGGATGAGAAAGGAGAGATATCTTGTGCCCTTTTATTGAAAGAAAAAAAGAAGATGCCTTATTTAGGTAACTAAACTCAGGGAAACTGCAGTCACCAGCATCCTCCCTTTGCCAGGCTGGACTGGGGCTCCAGGAAGCCCATCAACCACTCCCAAGAACACCACACCACTGGTTGCTGCAGTCCAGGGTTCATCCACAACCCAAAGACCATGTGCACCCTAAGACAGCTATGAATGAGGCTCAAGGCAAAATAGTAAACTTACCTAAACTATTATGAAATTGTATGATTGTGTGTGTGTAACTCGACTGGGTGGTTGTGGAGTGTGAATTTTGCAGATAGCCTTATGTGGGAACGTCAAAGTGTAGGACACATCTGCTGTTTCCACAGGAGAGCTGCGTGTAAGAGGCAAGGGTGGCACTGGGCATGCTTAGCTGTGGCCTCTTGCCACCAGGGACCAGAGGCCAAGAAAACTGTGAGGCAGGAGGCAGAGGAAATACAGATTTGCCTGAGCTTTGCCTTATCTCATTTCTCCTTCCCTAACAGTGCACCGGAGAATTCCTGGGTTTTATGGGTTCCCGTTCTTCTGTATGAATCCCAACGATTCATTTGGTGCTGACTAGCATGAATCTTCTCGCCACTTCCTGGGCTTCTGGTAACAATCCTGTTGGGGTGCACTGAGCCATGCCAGTAGCACCTGAGGGACGTGCTACCTGCAGACTGTGGATGCCCCTTTGCAAGCTGCAAAGCAACAAGCCCTGTCACACAGCCCTGGCTGTGATGATATTTGGCAGGTGGGTGGGAGCCCTGGGCCCCATGTTGGCCTCCTGCCTGACTCCCTTCCCCAAAGTAGCCCTTACCCGAGTGGCATGGCCAGTGGCCCTGGCTGAGGGGCCCATCATGATGTTGACGCTGCTGGATGACTGGGTGTCACTGGTGTTGCCCCCCTCTGCGGCAGAGAGTCCGGATATGACAAGAGCACTGGAGAGGCTCCTCTTGCCAAACAGGAAGCTGAGGGTGGAGCTGGTGGAAGAGCCCAGGCTGGACCGGATGAGTGCCTCGGCTCGCTCACGGACGCTCAGATGGCCAGTAGTGGTGACAGGTGGTGGCTGAGAGTGCAGAGATGCAGCAGAGGTGTGCAAGGAGAGCCGGCTGCCTGAGGGCCTCTGGGCCAGCTCATGCACAGACGTGGACGTCTGAAGGAAGGCCTGGTGGCTCTCCAGGATGGGACCAGAGGAGCTCAGAGTGGGCAGCCGCTGGCTTAGGGCTGAGTGTGCCTGGACAGACTGGCTTCTGCCCTTCCTCCTGCCTGCAGAAGAGAGCAGTGCACAGGTTTTGCCCTGTGTGGCTGATGTAAGAAGTGCTGCAGTAAACATGGGGGTCTCAACCTTTTTCGTTATGACTCCACCCATCAAGGAATGCAGTACCCTCTTGATACAGTCACTCCCTCAAAGTTTCACCTCTGCTTTGGGGGTCACATTGTCAAGACATGAGCCTTTTGAGAACAGTTCCTATACAAACCATCAGAATACTTTCATATGTATAATTTTAATTTCAGGATACCAAGGAAGCATTGTAGGCATGCCATCAGACATTTTTCTGCCAATTTAAATGTTCCTGTGTCTGCTGTAGCCTTTTTAATGCTGTATATGACCATTTTCTTTACCTGTCTATGTAATGGGTACCAAGCCTTCAAGGGGCGATGAGTGCTGGGGTTCTATAACACAAAAGGGTGACATCTCACAGTAACCAGATAGAAGACTGTGCTATAGTTTTAGTTGTTGACTTCACTTGGGTAGAGGGGACCTCAACTGAAGAATTATCTTCATTGGACTGGCCTATGGCCATGTCTATGGGATGTTTTCTTGATTGTTGAGTGATGTGGGAGGACCCAGCCCACTGTGGGGGTGTCACCCCTGGGCATGTGGTCCTATTTTGTATAAGAAAGCACGGTGAACACAGACCAATAGAGCAAGTCAGTAAGCAGCATTCCTCCATGGTCTGTGGTTCAGGTTCCTGCCTGGAGTTCCTGCCTTGATTTCCCTTGATGATGGACTATACTAGTAAGCCAAATAAACCCTTTTCTCCCCAATCTGGTTTTGATCAGTGCTTAATCACAGCAATAGAAAGCTAACAAAGACAAAGAATCTGAAGGTGCCCAGTAGAGAAATGACAGATGTAGGAGGGGCTGCATGTGATGGCTAATCTTGGTTGTCAACTTGACACACCTGGGAAGAGGCAACCTCAAGTGAAGAACTGCCTCCAACAGACTGGCCTGTGGGAATGTCTATGGGGCATTTTCTTTTTAAAAAATTCTTTTTGATTTATTCATTTTTATCTTATGTATGTGTTTGCCTGAATGTATGTAAGTGCAGCAGTGTTGTGAAGTGCCTATGCAGGCCAGAAGAGGGCGCTGGATTCCCTGGAACTGAGTTATGGGTAGTTGTGAGCTGCATGTGGGTATTAGGAATCAAATCTGGATCCTCTGTGCTCTTGACAACTGAGCTAGCATTTTCCTAACTGCTAATTGATGTAAGAGGGTCCAGCCCACTTCGAGTGGTGCCATCCTTAGGCTGGTGGGTGTGAGCTGTATAAGAAAGGCAGGTGAACGAACATGACCTTGGAAGCAAACCAGTAAGCACCATCCCTCCATGGTCTCTGCTTCAGTTCTTGCTTCCAGGTTCCTGCCTTGAGCTCCTGCCCTGGCTTCCCACAGTGATGGACTACAACCTGTAAGCCAAAAAGTCCTTCCTTCTTCCAAGTTGCTTTTGGTCATAGTGTTTATAAGAGCAAACTAGAACACTCCAAATGCCAGCTCTCTTGATTTAATCATTTCCTAGTATAGACACACATCAGAGTATCAGTTTGTGCCCCATAGATATATGACAACTAAGAAAGAAAACATTTTGCAATCTTTTTTTTTTTTTTTTTTA